GTGCGTACGCACTTAAGCATTAAGCAGCAGTGGAAATCCACTCTTAGAGAAACCAATTGCGTTTTCCCCTGGATAGATTTTTATTCGTTAGATAGCCTTCTCCAACGTTAGAACAACCGGTTTAGACACATGACAAAATAACAGACAGTTCATACCTTCGGAGATACAAAAGGCAAATACCAACACTGACGCAAACAAAGATTTCATTCTTTAAGACGCTTGTGACTGCAAATTCCGGCAAAACAGCTGAGAAGTTAAAAACCTTCAGAGCTACACCTGTGAAACTGATCTCAGCACAACTAGAAATACAGATATATTGACTCAAAGGGCTTGGCTTCAATGTACGTCAGAGGGTAGCCACAGCCAATAGAGAAATCGCAAAAAGCTCATAAATAAATATACTAATAAATGTCATAATTTCACCAATAAGAAAGAACCGTGTTTGAATTCGGGGGGGGGGGGAATCAGGGGAAGGTTCGGTAGAGGTGGGCCTTGGAGCTTCTCAAACCCTACCCTTTTTTCCGACTAAAATGGTTCCTTTCCCTGTTCTATCCAAGACAGCCCTTATTTCTTAACCCTGATTCATTATTTTTTACAGNTGCAAATTCCGGCAAAACAGCTGAGAAGTTAAAAACCTTCAGAGCTACACCTGTGAAACTGATCTCAGCACAACTAGAAATACAGATATATTGACTCAAAGGGCTTGGCTTCAATGTACGTCAGAGGGTAGCTACAGCCAATAGAGAAATCGCAAAAAGCTCATAAATAAATATACTAATAAATGTCATAATTTCACCAATAAGAAACAACCGTGTTTGAATTCCGGGGGGGGGAATCAGGTGAAGGTTCGGTAGAGGTGTGCCTTGGAGCTTCTCAAACCCTCACCTTTTTTACGACTAAAATCGTTCATTTCGCTGCTCTATCCAAGACAGTCCTTACTTCATGACCCTGATTCATTTCTTTTGACAGAGAGAATTAAGTAATTTTTTAAAACTAAGATCAAGGAATTTGATCTTTTTGTACCTCACATGTAGACCCCTCACTGCCAAACTCCAAACTCTTCAGTCTTCCGCTGCAAAAAGACACCTTGTTCAAGACGCTAACTAGTGAAACTGCTGACAATTTCAGGAAGTCTGAGACGAAGGTTGATTCCAATAAAGCGAATTTGGTGGAGGCATACAGTAAAGGTTTTCGTCCACATGTTGAGTTAATGGCGGACTCTCTTGCTTTTATGTAGTACATTGGAATTCCGCTTATTTAAGTGTCTGCATTGTCTCACAAAAGAAATCAAAGTCTTTGCTTAAATTATATTAATAACTAAACTGAATTCTCTTTGTACCAAGAACATTGTTGCAGTTTCTAAAAGTGAAATTCAGTTCTAGTTTGTATATCCAAAATCACACGTTCTGTCAAAAGCAAGGCGCTTGATCAAGTGTATCATGTTTATTTCCTTCTTAATAAATCTCTTGTGCAGCATATAACCGGTGTGTGTGTTCATATCTTATTTTTGGAAACTTCAGGGCCATACCCCGTTTGAGTACACACATTATTTTATTCACAACTGTACACTGCTTCAAAGTGATTGGGCAACCAGTCCAATTATCTTGGAAGGCAGTGTGGCCGAGTGCCGTGCACAGCGCGTCAGACTCGATATCCGGCGGTACCGGGTTCAAGTCCCGCTCTGACCACTTGCTGGATTTGTTCTCGGTCCTTCTAAGTTCAAATCCTCCTCCACGCTCGTAAATAGACAACTAGCTGCCTCCTGCCAGTTGGGGTTTTTAATCCTGTTATGTTCCATTTGGATGCTTTGTTTCTTATTACTGGAGTGGAGTGCCTCCAAACTATACTTACCGTACTTAGTTTTATATACACATTTTATCAATTCCATCATTTCTATATACGCAATTCAGCCATCGGGCTGCAAAGTATTAGTAATTAAACTATCTATCTATCTATCTATCTATCTATCGATCTATCTATCTATCTATCTATCTATCTATCTATCTATCCATCTATCTATCTATCCATCTATCGATCGATCGATCGATCGATCGATCTATCTATCTATCTAAACTAAAGCAGTGCACTTTCCACTATAAACAAAACTTTACCCTTTAACCTTGTTTCAGTTCAATGTTTTTTTTCATACACCGCAAAGGAGGCTGACGCTTGAGCGATCATTTAAGTCCAATTTATAGAGTCCTTGGCTTGTTACTTCCTGTTTGCTTCACTTGGCTGTTATTTACGTTTCTGATATTGACTGTCTGCATTTCAGTACAGTTGTGCACGGCAGAAGTTCTTTACATCGTTTTTTGCTCGTTACCCGCTCCGAGTCTAATTCTGTGAAATGGTAAAAGGAAAAAAAAAAAAAAGAAACCGCACACACACAGCTCTGCCTTGTGCATGAGTGAATAGCTTCACTGCGATGTTGATATTGAAATGTTAATTAACTTCGTTAAAAATACTTCTTTTGTTGTTTATCTTCGTAGGCATTCTTTTACTTGAAATATAAGAGACAGAGCCCGCGAGAATCAGAACGGGAAGCAACAATTACTTAACGGTGAATAAAGTACGCAAAAACAGCGTTTTGCCCATTATCCAGGTCATTATGCATAAAAATTGAAACAGTGTTTATGCTTGCATGCGTTTACACGACACTATTGTATACTACAAGGGTCGACACAATAGACCCTGCAAAATATACACACAAGACTGAAAGGTTTTAAGGACAAAAACCCGCTTTTTTACTGGTGGAAATCTATCCATTAAAAACCCGGGGTTTTTTGTGGATGTTTCCCGGCGCGCAGGATATACCTCTGAACGTTCTGGAGTGACATAACTGCTTTTCCAATATTGGCGATCAACAGATCCTAACAAATAAAAAGCTCCATTTCTAGGTAAGTACTATTCACCTTTTCACGGGCCGCGAATAGTATTCACAAGTCGAACAAGACTGTGAGCCAGTTAATTAATAGAGGAAAGCTTCACTGTATGCCAGTAAATATCAGCAATAATTCAGCGGATAATTTTTGACTTACAAAGGAGCGCAGATTTTAATTTTCACTCCTAAGGACAACAGTGTTTTTGTTACAAACCGAAACTTTTAATGGCAATTCAAACATTTACTTAGAAACTGTTTTTATTCAAGAAAGGCTTAGGTAAGCGGAAACCGCCATAATTTTCAAGTGTAGTATTGCAGTACCAATATCACAATAATCACCGATCTTTTAACAATAATTTGCACATTCCTTACTATATGTAAACACAACAATCGTATTTCTCCTCACACAGCTCACAAGATCTTAAGAACAGAGCATCTTCTTTCTAGTTTAATCCCTTTTAATAACATGCCAGTAAAAAGTTTCGACGTCTAATAAACATGGATGTTGCTTATAACGAAGCCTAAAATACAACTTTGGAGGGTTGAGGGGCTCGCTTTGACCGTGTCGTCTTTCTGAAATAAATTTTGTGACAAAACAAGTGTGGGAATTTAGGTTAACTTTACCGTTTAGTGAGTCTTGTCTGACGATGTAATCACTTTTGATGAGAATCTCGAGGTCGGATGGTTCCGCCAAACCTTGTAAAGCACAAAGCTCCGCTGTCATTGGTTACTTTTTAACGGCTGTGATTGGTGCATTTCGATCGTCGCTGTTCCAGGAGGGTGGTCAGCACTTTTCAAAATGTGGCAGTCGAACCTGTGATCATCATCTATTGACACTCTATTTCTCTTCTATTGAAACGCATCGTCCTTCCGAACCTTGTTCGGCGTCCAACAAGAAAAAGAGCCTCAGAAGGTAACTGCAGTTCATCGAAGCTATGGAGCCTTGCCTCATCCTCAACACCATCATTCACGTCACTTTCATCTGAGACAAATTCAATATCGTCATCTTCATCTTCGCTTTCATTGCTGTCTTCATAGTTTGATTCGACGGGCTGGGGGGAGGGGGAGCCGTCCGGTTTGGCATGGATACCATGGCCCCTATTGAACTGGCAGGCTGGTTTCATAACAAACGGATGGTAAAGTTCCAGCCTTTGCCTCTGTTTCTTGGCTCAGAGACCTCTCCCTGACTGCTCTCTTTGCAAATTCTGTCAGCTTCTGGCAGTCGTCTAAGCTCAGCTCACAAACGGAAAGGGATTTCATTTAACATGAGCATTTCTTGAAACTAGATCGTGCCTTCTGGGTATGGGTAAAGAGGAATGCACTCCACGTTAACAATCTCTTCACACTCCCTTTCACGCAATCTCCAAATTAACAATACTGCAACATAGAAAAATCGCCACCAAACACGGAAAAGGTAGCAAAATCCGAAAACCGCGTGCCGATATTAAAAGTTGTAATTTTCTGCAACGGCGCGACGATTTCTTAACCGTAAACCGCCAAATAAATACGACTGTGACCGCCAACCGACACTCAAAATTGGCTAAAACCGCCAAACCGCCAGAGTATAATAGAACCTCCATAGTTGCTGTATCATGTATTATGTATTTATTCTAGAAAAAGAATTTTTGAAAAACTCACGGTAGAAGAGATTTGTAACAAAACTTCTGGGTATTCTTATACCCTGAGAATCCAAATTTTTAGACTTTTGATTGTAGAAACTGTTTCTAGCCGTAAATAAAGGGTCATTTGAGCGCGCCTCTTTGCGCTATTTCCCGTTTGTTTTGATTGGCTGTTATTTTTGTCTTAGTGAGGTCCTTTCTTTGTATTAGATTGATGTTTGTGAGCAGGAAATTACAGGCGATTTGAAATTCCATGGCCCAATTAAGCTAAACGACTTCTTGTTTTAATTCTTTGTCAAACCTATCGACTCTCTTTTCTCGCTGCTTTTCTGGCGGAGTGGCTCGAGCACGAACCAAGTTCGCCTAAGCCAAGGACAGTTTTAAAAGGAGAAGAAAAAGAAAACAGTTTGATAATGACACAAATTTTAAAAAATCCGAATATTTTTGTCTTAAAACTAGGTAATGCTTTTCTCCCTTTGTTTCTTTTAAAAATGGAGTGAACTATACTGCCATTAGGTAAACTGGTCGAGCATAAAATGGTGAAGCGGTCAAATCAATTTACAACCCAAAGAAAATAAACCGACATTTCTGAAATATGTTTCCCATTACAAGTTCTTTTATACATAAACCCTTTGCGAAATTTTAGTCACCTTCTGTCGGTCATTGCACTATACCCTTTGAGCCGATACGTGCATCATCTTCTTTTCTAGTCAGTGTGGAAATTGATTCTGCGGTACCATTAATGTTTTGGCGATATATATATGTTTACCAAGATAGTTTAACGACTCTCAAGACGGCTTCGCGATAACAGCTAATTACAAATTGTGATGTCGTTCTTCACAGCATAAGGAAAGTGTCGAACCAACCCTGGTTGACTCTTGGGTCTTATATCTGCTACCTGTTTTTTTCTTTTTTTTTTTTTTTAATCTAGGACCCGTTTCTCGAAAGTCCCGATAATGCGTTAAGGAGCCAGGAAAGCTGTTGTGGTATATTTAAGAACAAAGTTTTAAAAGTTTCGAACATCCATAATATCATAAAACTATCAGTTAACGAAACAAAATTGACCAGTTTGTTAGCTAGGACCTCAGCGCGCTTTCATTTTTTAAATTATTATTTGAATATTTGATTTCGGGCCTGAAACATTGCTAGGACTTTTGAGAAACTGGTCACGCCTGATCAGTAGTATATTTAATACTCAGTTCTACTTGTAATGAAATTGCAATAAATTTTGCAATTTTTCGCTTTCTTCTATATAGGACACGGTATCAACTTGTGCTTCAAGTGTAAGTCAGACAAGGGTTGGGATGACTGTGTTAATAAAAACGACACGACGTGTTCTTCTAAGGACGGTCAATGTGTAAAAAGCCATCTTGTACTAGAAAAAAACGGCAACACCCAGACGACTTATATAAAGGAATGCGTAACGAAAGCAATCTGCGACGATGGTTGTAAGGTTTTCGAAAGGCAAGGGTTCAATGTCAAAACGTGTGATTACTCCTGCTGCGACAGTGACCTGTGCAATGGAGCCAAAGTACCAATGGCCAGTGGCTTCCTCTTCTTGACATGCGCTTTTGTACTTTTTTTCCGTTAAATGCTGTCACTTTTTTTGCATAAACATATAGCTACGAGTTCGGTAAAACTTAGCTTTCAAGTTTACAATATTCAGTCGTATCGAAGTTGAACTCTGTAGTATTTTTTTGTGTTTTAAGTAAAGTGTAATAACAGTCATGTACCTTTTGTTCCCTGTTGGCTTTTATTATAATTCGAAAAACCAAAGTCAGGCAAAATCAGACGTCAATATGCTCAGCTGGAGCTTTGAAATGTTTTGTCTAGGGCCTGGTCGTTTATTACCTGAGAGGGGGGAGCCGGCCATTTTGCTGAAGGTTCATTTTCGAAATCTTAATTGATTTTGGTGGGTCATTTTCAGATGAAAGAACGTTACCTGGGGGGTCACTTAAAAAATTCATGGAAGTAGTACAAAGCAATATCGAGCCTGAATTTTAATTGAATGTAACAGCCATCAATATAGATCTTTCTCAAAGCCCCACCGTTTGCGTCGCTTGTCTCGGGACTTCGCGGCTTGCTTTCGCGAGCGTCTCTCGCGCCTTCCGTGCTCTCGTAATATACTTGCTGAAAATCTACAATCCGATAGCTAACACCGATCGTTTAAACATCACTGTAATGCTAAAAATGGATGCAAAATTGTCCGAAAAGTCAAATTTTAAGACTCCCGAAGGTGTCCTGACTAAAGCACGAGTTCCGAGCAAGATACAGAGTATGTAATTATGGTTAATTATGGATACCTTGCCTCTACCTAAATCCGAGACGGTCATTGCGATCAACTAAAATCCCTAATTCACGATCGTCAGACAGCCTTTGCCCGTGGTGAATTCGGAATCGTGTTAACCGCTTACGTAAGTCTTGTCGCGCTAAATACTACGAGTCCAAAGTTTAACATCTGAGAGACTGCGCTCTAGGTGGTGGAATGAAGGTAAAAGGCTCGGCGGGATGCAATCAGTAACGCGTGCTGACCTGACTTCAGTCTTGAAACTGATTGACTCAGGGCCTGACTCTTACGGCCCTTGCTAACACCATTAACAAAGCGTTCCTCGCCCCTATGAACTCCTTTTCTCCGCTGCATCCGGAAACATCAGGTGACGTGCAACACACCAATCCGCCAACGGTTACTGAGTTAAAGCCTTAGGGCCGGACGGCATACCTGCGTGGCTTTTGAAAGAGAACGAAGACTTACTGGCCCAAGTGGTTACTGATATCCTTAACTGTTCATGCTCTGAGGCTCGACTACCCCAATCCTGGAAGGAAGCCGATATTGCCCCTGTTCCCAAGCAGACCCCTGTGTATGACGTAAACAAGCACTTGAGACCAATATCACTTACTCCACTCCTGTCCTTTCCAAGTTAGCTGAGGACTTTGTAGTTGATCTTTACGTCAAACCTGCCGTGCTTGCGAAGGTCGATCCTAGGCAGTTTGGCATCGTTCCCGGTTCAGGTACCTCAGAAGCCCTAGTTAGCATGATCCATGCCTGGAACAGTGCCACTGACGGTAATGAAACCACTATGAGGGTGGTTCTCTTTGACTTTAAGAAAGCTTTCGACCTCATTGATCACCGGAAGGTCGAGAAGCTGTGCTTATATGACATCCCTGACCCTGTTATCTCTTGGAGCTATGGCTGTTCATCATCATGATCAACGGGCTTGATGTTCCTGCCACCGATCTCTGGAAATACGTCGACGATACCACCATCTCGGAGAATAAGCAAGAACCAAGACAATCACATCCAGGCCGCCGTTGACACCATGGTCAACCGCGCTTCGGCGGAAAAGTTTCAACTAAAGGTAAATTATTATACATTGTACTCACTATCTGTATTCTCATTGGGTAAGAGCCTACAGCTAATTTTGGAAATCAGCGCAAACTACAGATTAGTTAGTTATATGCCAGCAGATAACTAACTAATCTGTAGGTTGTACGCGCAATGTATGAATTTAATCAATTCAGGTTCCTTCCTTGTGTGTTTGTCGTTATTTTCTTCAAAACAGCGTATAATAAAACAATTATTATATTCGGTTTTGTGATATCCTAAATACGGCTGATAACACTTACTTCGACTTTGATTATTTAGGATATCACAAAAACCTCATCCAAATAATTGTTTATTATTGCTTCGCCGTGTAGCATAAGAATGAAGTTTACTATTCAGGATAGTTTGCTGATTATTTAATTGTTCAACATTAAGGATCTCCCAATTTTCAAAGAGCGGCTTTGATGATTCAGTGTACGAGGGAAAAGTTATCACACGTACTACTTTCTCTTGTATTTTGATCAGACTGTCCAGTCTTGTGTTGTAATTATTACCCCAGACAATGTTACCATAAATAAGGTGAGGGTATATCAATGAGTAATACCAAGAGAGAATCGTCTAGCTCATTTTCTCCTGGTAATACAGATTTAATAATAAATCCTCCTTTATAAATGGCGAGCCCTACATAAAATTCCTGCTGGTTTTTGCTATTTTGCATGTTACATGGTTTATATGATTTTTCCAAGTCAGATGCTCATCAATCTTTACTCCTATGAAATACCACGTGACATTACGTCATCCCATCAATCCCGAGCGCGGGCAAAGATGGCGGGTATGGTGATTGAGGTCTATCACATCATTTACAGCAAATGACAAAGTGCCGGCTTGGTACCCAAGGTCTCTTCCGCCCGTGCTCGAAAACTTTCATCGCTCCGTTTCTCCGCATCTCCTTCTTGCCCAAAAGCTTTATTGCAAGAAAGCTAAAGAAACTGTAATCAGAAACTTAAGGCGAACGCAGTCAGCGCTAAAGAAAGAAGAACGTAATGTCTACTTCTATCTATCAAACTTAATGTGGATTTGTCCTTTGCCGCCCTTTCTCTAATCCTGACGAATGAGGGGTATTTCTTAACCATTTTTAGCGCCGCAGGTTCCTGTTCTGAGGAGAATTCCAATTCTAGTAATCGCTGAGTAATTCTAACAATCTATTTTTTAGCTGTTATGAAAACCCTTGTGCTTGGCAATTTATTTAAGCTCTCCAGATTTTCTAGTCACATTCGCACATGCAGATGGTCACTTGGGAAGAGTGACAAGAAAAAATGAACATGCATTTTCCCAATAAGACAATGTCATTTCAACTTTGCTCAGAAACTTGACAGCTGCACATGTGAAAGCAAGCAGCAAGAGATCTTCAATATTATTCAGGAGGGATCAAGCACGAGGGTTTTCTGCATTGCATCACAAAACTGCATAGTTCGAGCTGGCTGGTTTATTTATCTTCAGAACGGGAACCTAATGGGCTGAAAACTGGTAAGAGTTTTCCGTAGATCACGATCTATTTTGTTTTGTTAAAATGTGTTTCGAAAAGAAGGGGACTGACAAATGCACAGTAAATCCGATAATGTATAATCTCACCCCACATGCGATATGCACAGTGTTAAAGTTCTTATTCTCGAGGCGACAACTGTGTTTACCATGGGTTTCTGCCGATTATTCTTTGTATAAAGTTCTAGGTAAAAATCATATTTCAGATACTTGGGCGATGTTCTTTCAGCGCTCTTCCGCTATTTGTGCATATAAAACTATCAAAAATGTTTTGACATAGCATTTTAAGATTAAGTTCGTTGACCTGTATTTTATGCAGCGCGTTGTATAGTCAAAATTGTCTTTAAGTTTCAAATTTCCAGGTACAAAATTAGAGAGCTCTTAGGTTTTTGCTGAAGCTAGGGCCAAAATATTTCCTTGGATTTCGAAGTTATTTACATTTCTTAAATAAAATATAGGATTTTAATATATATATATATATATATATATATAT